AAACTGCTCCGGACAGCAATTCTCGCTGTTTGGATGTTCCCAGAGGTGGTTGCTTGCTGTCCAAACGCTCCAAACAGCAGTTTTCACTGTTTGGATGCTCCCGGAGGCTGCGTGGCTGCTGTCCAAGTTGCTCTGGAAGACTCCTTTGCTGTTCAAGGCGCTGTCAAGCCTCCAAACCACTGTTTGGGAGGTTTTGAAGGCTTGCTTTGCTGTTTGGAAACTTCCAACAGCCTCCTTTTTTCCACGGACTCACCGGAGTTGAAGGAGAAAGGGGGAGAAGCCACAAACTTTGCAGATTTTTGAGAAAACAAGTGAATGGAGGGCTTAACCTTTGATTTGCTTCTTGAGAATGATGAAAAAGCCCTCAAATCTCCAACTTCATCATCCCTTTTTCTTAGAAGAGCCACATGCAAGGAAGAAGAGACTTGGCCGGCCCTTCCTCTTAGCTAGGTCGCATGCAAGAGGCCACCATCAGCCTCTTCTCCTCACTTGGACGGGCTGCACGCAAGCAAGGGGAGCCGAAGGCTCCCCCTCTCCTCTCCGCTCTGTCTGAGACGGGCGAAACCACACGGGGGAGCCGAATGCTCCCCCTCTCCCGATCTCTCCCTCTCTATGTTGGGGCGGAACAAAACGGGGGAGCCGACTGAGCTCCCCCCTCTCCCTTTCGTCTCTCTTAGAAGCGCACACAGCACCGCCCAAATGGGCCAATCCCTCTTCTCACACGTGGAATGAGTATTTAGGGCAAGATTTCATGTAAAATCTCAACCCTTGATTTGGGAATTTGATTTGAAATTTTGATTTAGCCCCACTTGATAAATTAGGGCTGAAAATTGAGCCCAAATTAGACTCGACTCAAACCGATTTGAGTCGGTTTGGGTCCGATTGGTTCCGATCAAGCTAATTTCATGAAATTAAACTTGAATCGGTGCTGAAATGCGTCGAATTGGGCTCGACGACTCTCGACGGGGTTTGAATTGGATTGATTTAATTTAAATTAAATTAAATTTGATTTAATTTAATTAAATCGAGGATCAATTTGGATCAATTTTGCCTCGACGATGATCGATTGAGTTGATCGAGCGCGATCGAGCCTAGTCGGGCTCGATCAGGGTCGAGTCGATGCGAAAATATTCGTCAACAAGAGGTGGCGCCTGTATCCAAAATCCAATCGGTAGGCAGCCCACCATTAGCAGAGTTCTTTGTTTCTTCCGCGAGAAAAGCCGAAGCATTTTGCTTAATGTAATTAAGGTTGGTGCGATGCCAGAACTTTTTTGCAGAGTGGCCAAGCTTGCCACATATTTTACATTCAATGCGTGGTGAATTTGTTCGACTACCATGGGAATTGTTGAACAGACCATGACCATGATAAGGGCGGAAAGGAGGCCTGTATGAACCACGAGCTGGTGTTGCAGTGAGTACAACAGGAGTTTCTGAGAGCTGGACGGAATGAAGTGCTTGAGCAACTTCATTTTCAAGGTTTGTCTCTTCACTACACAATAAGGAATAAAAATCATCCAAATTTAGCCGCTGGAGATTTATTCGAATAGATGTTTTGAAATCCTGATATGATACAAACAAGCCATTCAATGTGTACATAATCACATCCTCAAAATCCAGAATACAGCCTGCAGCTGTGAGAGTATAGACCTTCACCTTGATTTCAGTTAAATATTGTTGCATTGTCTTGTTTGCCATTGAAATGTAATGCATATCGTTCTTAATCTGGAGATTATGGGATCGGTTCGAAGATTGCAGACGTTTCCCAATCATTTGCCAAATCTCCTACCAAGAATCCAGTTTAAGAACATAGAGTAACAGAGGTGCCGAAATAGTAGAGAATAATGCTACAGCTAAGTTTTGATCAATCAGCATCCAAGTGAAAAATAATGGGTTGGGTTTCAATGTACCTGTATCCGAAGAGATTTGATGGGGAGGGCGACAAACGGTCCCGTCCAGGTAATCCTCAAAATTGTTGGCACGAAAAACCTTCAGAATTTGCGACCGCCGTGTGAGATGATTTTTGGGAGTAAGTTGAACTTTGATGACGTTCTTAATGGTAGACATTAAGAACTTTAACTGAGGCGGGAGGGTAGCTGTTCCGATGAGAAGACTCACTGAAACTTGTGGCAGAAGAGGAGTTTCCTGATTCCATTTACGAATGATGAACCACGGAGGAATAGGAGCCGTGAGGCTTATAGAAGCTCTGATACCATGTGGTAAACAAACCTGCAAAGGAATGTTAGAAAACGAAGATAGTGAAGCAGAGAGGAAGAAGACCTTCAGCTTTTCTCCTTGTATTCATTTCCTTAGCTACAGTATATATATATATATATATGTAATTGAAAAGAATAACTGAAAGCTATTTTGAGATGAAGTGTTTTCTGCCACACTCTATTGTGGACCATGTGGGAACTCTGCTACTGCCGCTAGTGGGCACACATTGGTGGTGTGATGACTTGCCAGACCATGTTAACAATTACCACGTATAAAATTTTGTTAAAATGTTTAACTAGCACATATGTTATAGTATCGGGTCCATTTAGGGTGTGGACCTCATTTAGATTTTGCCAAGTTAGTTGTTGTCAAGCCGTGCTCGAATCACCTCTAACGTGACATTGAGCTTGATATTAATTAATTGAGTTTAAGCTATAGCTTAAGATTTTGTTTGTGATAGCTTTAAAACTGCTTTACTTTTCATATTGCAACTACAATTTCTATTTAGTTGCTATTTTTTTTTAATTCTTTCAAAAAAAATATGTGCTAACAACTTTCTATAACAGTTTTAAGAAGTTATCTTCTCCGCAACAGCTTTATAAAGTAGTAAGAAAGTCATCCCAAATAAAGACTAAGTTTATTTCTATGAGTTTGATTTAGCTCACGAGCTAGCTAACTTATAATAAAAAAGAGAAAATAATTATAATTCAAATAATGATAATAATAAAATGATAAAAAGAATCATAAATTAGAAGAGAAATAATATGAAATGTGATATATTTTTTAAATATTTTAATAACTTTATAAGCTTTCTAAATACTAATATATATTTTAAGTGTATTTTTCATTAATATTTTTTAAATGAATCGCTCACGAGCTAAGAAAGTCCAGTTAGGGCTGCTTCAAGCTTGGCCCGTTAGCTCATCAAGCTCAGCTCATGAGCCGTTTATCAAGCAATAACAAGCAATAAACTAAAGGATAGCAAGCAGCAAGAGAAACGATGGCTAGTAAGAACTTTAATTTGATATATTCCCTAAAATTTTCGCTTTCTGATATGGTTATATCTAATAAAATTTGTGTTATTTGATAGCAAGGTTCTTCATAAAGAAAGTTTTTATGGCTAATCTTTGTTGACTAAAATTTATTTCAATGATGTGTTCTTAGAATTTTCGATGGAGATTGGCTTAATTTTGGAGGAGCTTTTTATATGAAGAACGAAAAGAGAAAGATAGGAGCACTAGATTTTGAGAAGTTTCATTTGGGACAATTTTCTTATTATTTATTAAAGAAGCTTGGTTCATTTAAAATGATGGATGTTTAATTCATTTCGTACTGATCGAGCTTTAAAGAAATGAGTCTTACCAAGCTATTAACGAGCTTTGCTTTCTAGATGTTTATTAGCTTAACAAATTCACCTTCTATAGTTAGCTAATAAACAATTGCCTAGTACTTATTCGAGAACATATCTAGCGAGTGTTTTCATATTACAAAAAGAGTTAATTTACGAACATATCTAACGAGTATTTTCAAACTACCAAATGAGCTCCGCTATCGAACAAATAAGCTCAAAAAATGATCTTCTTATTAAACAAGCATGTTCGTGATTACTTTAAATAAAGATGTACAAATAACTCTCGTTTATAAACTAATTCATTCTATTTTAAAAGCATAATACAAAAATAAATTTATTTTTTTATAAAATAAGAATCATTTTATTATAATAAAAAAATAAAATTACGTGAAAATATACCAGATAAATTTTTTTGACAAAACTTAATCAATTCTTACGAAGATTATTCACAAGCTCTATATTAGATATTAATCAAACTTCTCAACGAACATTTTAACAAATTTGTTCACTAGCTTTAATTAATATTATTTATGAATATAAACAAGCCGAATACAGATTTGTTCAAACTTTTTTTAACATTCCTGTATTTTAAAATTGTTTCAAACTTGTTTGATTACTTAAACAAAAGATAATGAACGAGTTGTAATCGAGTCAAAACACTAGTAGTTTGCCGAACGCTCAGCTCATTTGCAACCCTAATCCTGCATATATATTCATCACCTCAAATTTATTTAATGGCTGACTACATCAAGTGCATTTGTACAGGCAAATCAATCAATCAAATACTACTAATGGTAATCTCAGATCCATAAAAAGATTATAATCTTTAATTATTTTAAATTAATATTGAGAGTCTTTAAGACTTAATGTCTATTTGTTCTAGAGCTCCATCATCTTGTTCATCATATCAACAGTGGTTAATTTAGGATTATCTTTAATTTGTAAGAATTATTCTAAACATTAAAAATTTAGGAAATTTAGGCTTCATTTAGGATAATTTTCTTACTAATTTTTCAGCAACATCTAACACAAAAAAAAGCTTGAAAGCAATAAAAAATAGTAATAAAAAATTGTCCCAAACAAAGTCTTAGATTTCATTTGGGACAGCTTTCTTACTGTTTCTTAAAGTAGCTTTTTAGTACAAAAATTATTATTATTTTTTACTTAAAAGCTACTTTAAGAAGCAATAAGAAAGCCATCACAAATGAAGCCTTGATATAAAAGCTTAGAATTATTTTTCTATAGATTATTAGGAACCTATAAAACTTTGTTTTGTATTTTTAGGATATTTTTTTATGAATAAGAGGTACCTTAAAAGTTGTAGGTAATAATTATAATTAATTAATTAACTGTTAAAACTTAGATTAACAAGATGTCATAATTACCTAAGAATCATCCCATAAAATTTGAAAATATTTAAATATATATATATATATTTGAATTATTTAGTAATTTTCCTAAATCTTAAAAAAATTAAATATTATAATTAACATAGTTTAGAATCATTTTAGAATAATGTTCTTACATTCAACTGATTTTTTTCCTGATTTAATGCAATTTAACTCATATTTTTCTTAATTTTCTATAAGGAGAAATTAAATTTAGAGGTTCTAATTGATTTAATTAAATTCCTTTAATCCTAATTATCTACTCAACCAATGCTTTACACGAGGCATCCCCTGATTGGATGCAGCATTAAGAGTGCGGGTCCCCCAGCCACGTGGAATCTAAAACCACCATTCAATCTAAAACCTTAGGTTTTGCTATTTTAATCAAATGATATGAAATTGAATGGCTTTCTCTGTTAAATTGAACCAAATTTGTATGATGCAATAGTAACCCTTGTAAGTGATTCGGGCCGACCTGTGAGCCAGCTTAGACTCATCTTGATAAATAGCTCGTGAGCGGAGCTCAAAAAGCTAACAAGCCAAGTTCGACTTACAATCCTAAATAGAGTCATCTTATTGCTCCAACGATGAACGAGAAACCTTCAATGAAAAGGCCTTGATCGCCGACAATTTGAGAAAAAGTTGGATTTTTTTGTTATTCGTCCTCCATCAAGAGAACAATGCCTAATTAGATCCAAGGTTTTCTCACCTTGCCGCAATCATTTATGAGTTTAAGTGTTTACATGACTCACCTTGTTCTATTGATTGAAAGCTTTGATTATCAACTAAGAGATCTTGAATTCGAGTCTCGGATACGTGACGTATGTGTGAGTTTGTCTTAATTAACCTAAGTATTCCCACACAAAAAGTTTAGGTGTTTTACCTCCACTAGAACTTGCCTGAGAGCAAAATCACCTTATTATATTGCCTATAAGCTTCGTTTTGAATAGTTTTTTTTACTATTTTGTAAAGCTGCTCTAGAAAATAACTTTTTAAAAATTTGTAATAAAAAATATTTTTCTAACACAAATTCTTTAAAAGCAGCAATAAAAGTAACCAAATAGAAATTTTGGTTGTATTCTGAAAAGCAACACAGTAAGAAAACTATCACAAACGAAATATAAATCGACAGCTACACAATACAGAAAAAGAAAGTAATTCACAATGATCCTCTCATTATATTCTTTGGAAGTTATTGCCAGTCCAAAGGTGATCGATCACCCATGAAAATATCAAGAAATACAATTCAGAGGGTTGAACTAAGATGGTGTATTTAAGAAATTGCATGTAAGTAGTCCCATTCACCCTCAATGCATTCATAGCATAAGAATTAACTACTCAAGATATGTTACATGCTAATCAATCTTGAGAATTTATGTCTTGAGAGTCCCTCTTGCACTCTTCAAGTCAATAACTAAGCTCAGAGGTAAATAAAATATTCATAAATTCAATAAAATATGTCCTTAAAGTTTATGTAAAGCTAAAATGCCCCTCGACCATTTTAATCATCAAATAGAAGGATAGAGAGTCGAGCTATATCACCTTCGATATTCATGTCAGCGCATAATGACCCTAACAATGGCAGAGGGTTAACTACGGTTTTGTTTGGGACAGTTTTAAACCAATATTTGTTTCCTACTTTCGATAGATTTTTGTATTGAAAAGCATCTTTATAAAGCTGTAAGAAAAGTATCCCAAAGGAAGCCTACATCTACATCAATGAAGTTGAAACAACATAAATGGTGATATAAATTGAATGATCAAATTTGTGTTAGAAACTAATGATTAATGCTGATGAACTGCCTCATTAAGAATAATCTACAATTGAGACCAACATTGACATGATTAAGCATGAATCATAGCATGCTTAGGGTTCGTTTGGGACGGCTTTCTTATAGCTTCTTAAAGCAGCTTTCTATCATAAAAATTTTAATTTTTAAACTAAAAAGTTGTTTTAAGAAACAATAAAAAAGTCGTCCCAAACGAAACCTTAATTGAACAGATGAAATTAATCAAAAGCTAATTACACATCTGCTATATTCGAATGACTTCTATCCTGACAAGAGTAATTCCTCTATTCCTCTTACCAATCAACTTCAGCAATGCTTAGATGTCTAACTAAAAACATTAAACTTTCAACCATTCCTTGAAGTAGGACTGCATCCTGGCACGATTAGCAGCATTGCCAGCATTCACCGTTGGGATGATTTTCTCAGGTTTCAAAAACTAGATACGGATAACGCATAACATCAGATATTTAAAAAGCAATAGAAGATTAAGGCTTCATTTGAAACAGTTTTTTTACTGTTTCTTAAAACAATTTTTAGTACAAAAATTAAAAACTTTGTACTAAAAAGTTATTTTAAGAAGCAATCAGAAAGCCATCCCAAATGGAGCCTAAGAAAACAAAAAGATGTTTGTAATGTACCTTCACAAATTCTCTGAGCTCTGTAAAACTTGAATGTTCACTATAAGGAACCCCTGCAACATATAGCATAGTATAAGACAGCTCATAACAATTCCAATGTAGTAATGGCGTTTCTAAAATCTACGGAAAATTAATATTGACTAATATTAAAAATAATTGAGAAGTGATAAGAGTCGACATTGACTATTAAGATGATTTCAGGATCAGCATTAAGTATGTTCCAATTAATGGAGAGCTAGAACAGGCTGGCAGGCAAGCTAGTGCTTGCAAATAAGGCAACAACCTAGCGAGAGCTGGTGTAACTGGCGCTGTTGCTGGCTGGCAGCAGGCAGGCTGCTAAATTGAGGCTTCATTTAGGACGCATACTTACTGCTTCTTAAACAGCTTTAATTTTTTACTAAAAAGTTGCTTTAGAAAGCAATAAAAAAGCTGTCCCAAACAAAGCCTGATTCTCAGAGAGCTTTGGCCTAGTGGGAGCTTGCGTGGTTGCTAGATGGTAGCAGGTGGGCCGCAGATTGCTTGTAGGAGCTAGAATTGAGGACCTGATTTCGGGATTTCCACTCATGCTATGGATATATTTTGATTATTTCTAGCTTATAAGTAAGAATATTAAATTATGATTGATTAAGAGCTGTAGTAAGAAAATCAGCAATATAAGATTTAGTTGGATTGTAACATTAATTTGGACGATTCTTTGTTCAATTGACTCCTTTATAAAGTGTCTATAAATCTCAATATGTTTAGTCCTATTATGATAGACTGAATTCTTAATAATGCTAATAATAACTTTGATCATCACACCTCATTGTCATAGATTCTGTAGTGAAAACTCTTAAATTTTCAACAAGACGTTAAAGCCACTTACTTTCACCAATTTTATAGGCCATAACGCTAAATTCTACTTCAACAATGCTCCGAGTTAAAACAAACTAATTTTTTATCCTCCATGTAACTAAATTTACCCCCTATAAATACAACACAAAAACAACAATAACATCAAACCTTTATCCCACTATGTGGGGTCGGCTACATGAATCTTTTTTCTCTATTGTGCCCTGTTAAAAGTTAAATTCTCATTTAAATCTAATAAAGAAAGGTCATTTCTAATATTTTCTAACCAAGTCTTTGTAGGCCTACCTTTACCCTTCTTAACATAATTCAAATCTAATACATCTACTTTCTTAACCGGGTCATCGGAAGGCTGACGTTTTATGTGGCCAAACCATCTAAGGAGACTATCTCTAATCTTATCTTTCACTGGAGCTACTCCAACCTTTTCACTTATATGCTCATTTCGTATCCTGTCTCTAAGATTAAAGCCACTCATCCACCTGAGCATCCTTGTCTCTACAACATGTAACTTAATATTATGCTTCTCTTTTATTACCCCCTATAAATGATCAATAAATTTATGTGGATTTATGATTCAGCCCAATTAGCATTAGTGAAAATGTTTTTACTAGTGTTAGTTCCCTTTTTGAAGAATAACCCTTTTCTAAATGCCTTTTTTAAGATATGTTGGTATCATGTATGCAACATCAAGATGCTCTTTTGTAGGGTTATTCATAATTTGGCTAACAACACAAACAAAAAAGCAAATATTAGATCTAGTGTGACATATTTAGATACATTTTCCTGCTAGTCATTGTAACTTCCTTTATCATTAGCCCAACTTCATAAAATAGATCCATTGGTATGTTTACATTTTTTACACCCAAGAATACTAATTTTCTATAGTAAGTCCAATGTGTATTGTTATGAGACAGAAATCACATTTCTTGAACTTGCTATTTCTATGTTAAGATAATATTTTAATAAACAAACATCCTTGTTTTCAAATTCAACTAAAACATATTTCAGCTAATTTATCTTTCATCATGATTCACCATCAAGATGATATTATCAACATATACGATCAGGATATAAATTTTACCATCAAATATTTTCTTATTACTCTTGGAAGTGTCAATGCCTCTTTAATCACAATGATGAATCTGTTGAATAAATCTCTTAGAGATTGTTCCTTCATTTATATTGATCTCTCTCGAATTCAATAGGGATTGTGATATAGAGTTCATTTTCTAAAAGGTTTCTTTTTACAGCTAATTGATGGAGTAATCAACTTAAATTAGCAGCACGAGAGAAAATTACCCTGATAGTAGTCATCATAGCTGCCTCTGCAAAGTTTTCTTTTTACATATAATTGATGGAGTGACCAATTTACAATTAATCTTGCTTGGCATCTATCGATACTTCCATCAACTATTTACTTCATATTGAAGATCCATTTGCATCCAACATTTTTCTTCTATTCAGGAATATTTGAAAGCTTCCATGTACCATTTCTTTCAAAGGCCTTCCTTTCATCATGAACTACATTTGTTCATTCATGTACTTTTAAGGCTTCTTGAATATTTTTTGGTTTCAATGCTCAAAAGATTTATAGTAAAGGCATAGAACTTGAGAGATAATGTGTCATCCAAAATCTAACGACTAATCAAGTAATTAGAGCAGTTTTTTTATTGTTTTTCTAGGAGCAATAATAGAAATATTTAGATCATCCTTGGAATCAATTTTAACTTGTCCTTATAAAGCAGTGTCAGGACTTGGGTCAAACATTATCATTGGTAGAAGAGAAATGCTTTGTTCTACCTTGCTACAATCATCTAGAATAAATAATACATTTGTAGCTTACTCAGTGCATGTGATCTTTAAAGATTTTGGGGTTTTTGGAGTGAGATCCAGGTGGTCAGATTCAAATAGGTTTGAAAGATGACCAAAATTGAGATAACATAGGCTGATATCACCACAAAACTCATATTCATAGAGTGAGCTTATGTTCTCACAGAGAATGTGTATTTGAAAAAGATTACATCTATTGACTTTTGAGAAAGATTACATCTATTGTTATATAATATTTTTATTATTGGGAAAATAAAAATTGTGACCATGTTAGTGCACAGAGTAGCAAATGAAAGTGTAATTTATGGCTTTGGAGTCGATTTATTTTTTTTTTATTTTTTTTTTTTTTAATGGGGAGGAATAGCATAAAAAAATAGTCAAATACTTTGAGAGAGATGGTGGAGATGAGTGTATTTAGAGGATATTTTAGGTAAGAGTTTAACATGGATTTTTTAATTATAGAATTCTTGATAGCATATGATTATTAAGATATGCAACAATGATTTTTTATAAAAGAATAGAATTTCTCAAAAATAAAACCAGTTTCATATTTATCTTCAATGAAGGTCATAAATCACCTAAGATCAAAGATGTTGTTTATCCGAGATAGTCCCCAAATGCCATTATGGATAACATTAAAAGGTTGTGAGATGTTATAAAGATGACTAGGGTAGGAATTTTGATTATGTTTAGATAATTAGCCAATTATGAAACCATTTATAGAAAAATGAACCAAAACTTCAGTTTTACATTTAAAATGAGCATCTACATTGAAGGTGAGCTTGGAATGTAATATTTCAAGGTGGCTTACCATATATGGTGACATCACCTTTAATGACAGGTTTGATTAGATCCAGATGGCTTGCAGTGCTCTCAGAGTAGGTCCAACCTGTAAAATGTTTTGGTTCAGTAGAAAATGTAAAGCATTAAAAAGGGAGATGAGACATTGTAAATAAAAAACTAAAACGGCTCACCTGTTGGACGAAATGCCAAAACAGTTTGGAACTGTTGCTTGCAAGTTTTCAGATACTCTTTTAAGTTCTGCGTTGTAATTTTTTTAGGCAGCAAGAAGAGGAAAATTCTTTAAAATATCAAGTACATTTTAGTCCAGACCTCATAACGCAGGCAAGAAAGAGGTAGAACATGAAGTGGAGAACTCTCTGTGCATGAACAAAGCTTTTTGGAAAGTTCAGGCCAACCAAATGATTGCAGGATCTTTCTCCTGGAAGCGTTTGCATATATTGGAACCTACAAAGGAGATATCTGAATTGACGGGAGATGCAAAGACATGACGATTATGACAAATTTAACTATATACCAAAAAAAATAATTAATAAAAGAACCAATAATGAGTAAAAAATTTACTACTCAGTACCAAGTACCAACCAACATTTGAAAAACCAGTTACCGGCCAAGATGAATTTCTCAAGTTCATAACATATACACTACATACTTTTACACATATTTTTTAATTAGTTTTTCATAATGTGAATAATATTTATTTTTTAGTTAAAAATAATCAATTTTATTATCTATTTAATTTTCTTAAATACTTAATTATACAATATAAAAAATTATTTTTTTAATCTATTTTTTAATTATAAATGACCTAATATGAATTTATTTTATAATATAAAATTTGTATGTAATTTATATCTGTAAATTATATCTAAACATATAACAATTAATAACTATTTGTATTAAATTTATAAACTTATATATGAACTTATTTTATATTAACTAAGTTTAGATCTTCTCTTGTAGGTCCTTCGAGTCGTTGCCTTTGTCGATGGGATATCATTTAGACTTTGGGCTTAGTGTCAATCGCCTAGAGGTAAGTGATGTTATTTATTTTTGTGTAAACATACCATTCTTTGTTCTGAGTGTAATCCTATCACACCCCGAGTCCGAAAGGTGGTATACCCTTGCAACAAGGGACCCGATGAAGAGATATAAAGTATTGTTTTGTATTCACAAAGAGAAGTATACATATATAAGAGATAAAACATGATATATATATATATATATAAGAAATGACATAAAGAGTCAATTCATTAATAAAAGTTTAAATAACTAATATATCCAAATAACAGTAATTCTGATATAAGCCAATGGGAATATAAATGAACCAAAAAACAGGATAGAAACTACCCAACCCACAGAAACACAAACATATTAATTACTATCAAATAGTAAATATCAAAAAAAATAATCTACTACTGGTAATTTTTCTCCTGAGGTGTCGATCCATCAAACACGCCTGCAAGACCTACTGAAAAAGACAACGAATGAGATTGATAATCAAACTTAGCAAGGAACTAATATATATCAAAGAAAAAAAGGCAAATGAGTGGGGCATGCAATATAGACAACCAAAGGGTAAAAGTAATAACCTAAAGTCACCAATTCAAAGTAGCAAGGACACATGTCATGTTTCCTACAACAAAAATCTAATATGCTAGTGACATTAATGTATCTGGCAAATTACTATCAACGCAATTATTTCAATGCATAAAAATGCAATCACACTAGATATAATCATACCTCAAAATGACCTACAGACATTTATTATTTTCAATTCACATTTGTTATATTTTGTACATTTAAACATATATATCTATTGTCGGTTTATCATATAACTATACCAGGAAGGTAAACACCAACCCAAGGAAATCTAGTGATTTCCTGTAGAATCGCTACTCTAGGGGCCCGTCGACCCCGACTAGCCAAAAATCAATAGAGTTCTACCAACAAGCATACAATCATAAAAGAAAAATAATTTTAGAAATAATCAACAAACATTATATAAATCAACATGTCATATATGATTTATATATTTGCTATGATTTGCAGAAATGAGATTGATTTTATTTAACAAAACTAAATTAGATAAATTTTAACTTTTACAACATATAAATTCAACTTACATGAATAAGAACTAATGAGAAATAAATCAAGGTAAAGTTATACTTATCCCAAGTTAATTCATTATGAACGATAGCAGAGGTTACTATATGTATAATTATGCTAAGAAATTTAATATAGGACTGACAATCTAAATAGTTATAAGGGAATCTATTATAATTGATATGGATTACACTCCTAATAAAGAATGATATGTTTATACAAAAATAAATAACAGTACTTACATCAAGGTGATTGCCACGAAAATCCAAGTCTACAAGATAATTAACCGATGGCATTACGAGGATAACGACTCGAAGTTCCTACATATAAGAGTCATGTTGAATACTTTAATGTTTAAAACAAAAAGCTACCTATTATGCACAAACACGAACACGGCGACACGGATACGATATGACATAGACACGAGACACATCAATTATTAAAAATATAAGACATAGATAAGGGTTGGACACGGTATTATAATTTTTTATATTTTAAAAATAATGTATAAAAATTGAATACATATAATATTTAAAATAATTTAGAAATAATAAGTCATGTAACTAGAATTTATGCTTAAAATGATTAATATTAGGATGTCGAGAGTCGAATGTCGATATCGTGTATCAGGCATCGAGAGAGGAAAGGCCAATGTTGTTGAATATAGAGCATCAATGTTATGCAATAAGTATCGAGCGTCGATGTCAAGAGGGCGTTGGTCATCGATGTTAAGACGACATTGGACAAAGATGAGTTGTTAAGTTATGGGTGCAGAAATTGCTAGTGTCGAACATCAATATCAAGATAGTGTCAGAGTTCGATGTTGAGATAGTTTTGAAATTTTGATGTTGTAACGACGTCACACTTCGATGTTGAGATGACATCGAGCATTATTGTGAAATCAAAGTCACGACTCACCAAAGAGAAATGAAAATGAGAATATTCGATGAATGAGGTATTGAGTGTGGGAGACTGGTTTGGTGTTGTGGATATGAAATAAAAAATTTAATTTTTATAATTAAATAAATTAAAATTTTAAATACAAGAAATTATATTTTTAAAAAAATCATAAAATATTTAAGACGTATGTCCAATTTGTTTTTAATGTTTTTAATCAAACACATTTTCGACGTGTCTGACACGGGTCGGAGGCATGTCAGATATGTGTTATGTCAGATATGTGTCTTGTTAGACAAATCATAGAAAGCTACAAAACCCGAGTTTAGAATATTAATCAAGCCTAAATGATTAAAGAAGGTTAGATCAAATTGAATATCAAACATAAATAAGGCTTCTTCCCTAAGCAAGTTCAATTATTAAATTCCCACCCAACAAAACTAATTAAACTATGAAAGAAAAATATGATTTTATAATTTGATAAATATACGGAAGCAAATAAAAAAGAGGAAGGAGACAAGAGAAGATGAATGAGCTTACTATTGAAGGAGAAGAAGAAGACTTCAAAGAAGATGTTTGTTGATTTTTAATTTGTTGACTGTGAGAGGGCAAAGAGGTTTCAGTGGCTGTGATAGGGAGAAAAAACGAGTTGAACGATGCCCTAGATTCTATATCGCCTTAAATGGAGAGAGCAGCGACCAAGAGCAGGAAAATCACAAGAAGCGATGGAAGAATCGCATGATTTGTGCCATTAGAGAGAAAGAGGGAACCGCAACTGGCTCGCATGCGGAAGAGGCGAAGGAGAAGCGAATTTTCAAATGGCTTACGCATGCGGGAGAAATCACTGAATGGTTCGATCCAATTCAGGTTATAAAAAATTCATGCCAATCAGAATAGGCTCTCTTATAACTATTTAGATTGTCAGTCCTATGTTGATTTCCTTAGCATAATCATACAAGTAGTAACATTTGCTATCATTCATAATGAGTCAATTTGGGATAAGCATAACTTTGCATCGATTTATTGCTCATTTGTTCTTATTCAAGTACGATGAATTTATATGTTGGAAAAGTTAAATTTATTTAATTTAGCTTTGTTAAATAAAATGAAATTATTCCTGCAAATCATAGAAAATATATAAATCATATCTGACATATTGATTTATATAATATTTGTTGTTTATTTATAAAAGTATTTATATTGTATGATTGTATGCATATCGGTAGAATCCTATTGACTTTTTACTAACAGGGGTCGACGGGCCCCAGAGTGACGACTCTATAGTAAATCACTAGATTTCCTTGGGTTAGTATTTATCTTCTTGGTATGAGTATATGATAAACCGACAATAGATATATATATTTAATTATAAGAAAATATAAGTAAATATGAATTGGAAATAATAAATGATTATAGGTCATTTTGAGGTATAATGATATCTAGTGTGATTGTATTTTCAAGCATTAAAATAATTACATTGATAATAATTTGTCACATACATTAATGTCACTAGCATATTAGATTTATGTTGAAAGAAATATATTATATGTTAGTACTACTTTGTTTTGATGACTTTAGGTTGTTACTTTTATCCTTTGGTTGTCCATATTGCACGCCCCACTTTTCTGTCATTTATACTTTGATAAATAGTAGTTATTTGTTGAGTTTGATTTATCAAACTCACAATGTTATCTTTTTCAGTAAGTCCTACAGGTGTGTTTGGTGGACCACCACATAAGAAGCAGGATTACCAGCAGTAGATTATTTTTATATTTATTATTATGTAGCAGTTTATTATGTTTATGTTTTTGTTCTGACGGTTAGAAAATTTCTTTCCTTTTTCTTTGTTCTATTTATATTGTTTCTGACTTGTATAACAACTTTGTTATTTAGATGTATTTATTATTTGAACTTCTATTATTGGATTGATGGATTGGCTTTTATTTCATATATATATATATATATATATATATATATATTATTGTATCTCTTGTATATGTATGCTTCTCTTTATAAATACAAAATAGATCTTTCTATTCATTCATCACATCTCGTGTTGTCGAGGTGTATCGCCTTCCGAACCAGGGGTGTGACACTAAGTCAAATGACAATAGCAAGAGAATGGCTAAAAACAATGAAGAGATAGACCATGAATCAATATTTTAAAATTATAATTTTTTAAAGCATATGCAGATTTAAGAGGAAAGATGAGAACTTTAATATCTTAACTTTCAAAAAATAGATGGAAGTTCATTAATATTTTCAATCCAATTCCTTCTTTAAAGGCCCTAAAGTCCATCAGGTTCAGATTCAGATATATAGGACATAAAATAGAGCTTGAAACATTGAATTATTGAAATAGTTGCACAATGAAATAAAGAAATAGAAACACAAAGAAAGACATTAACCAAATGCAAGTTCAATTGTGTCACCATCTACAACAACAACAACAACAACATCAAGCATTTGTCCCACTATGTGGGGTCGGCTACATGAATCCTTTTTCGTCATTTTGTCTAGTAAAAAGTAAAATTCTCATTTAAATCTAATAAAGAAATATTATTTCTAATATTTTCTAACCAAGTCTTTTTAGGTCTACCTCTACTTTTCTTAACATAAGTCAAATCTATTCCCTCAACTTTCCTAACAGGATCGGAAGGCCTCCGTTTAATGTGACCAAACCATCTAAGGTGACTCTCTCTAATCTTATCTTCCACTGGAGCTACTCCAACCTTTTCACGTATATGTTCATTTCTTATCCTATCTCTAAGGGTCAAGTCACTTATCCACCTAAGCATCCTCATCTCTGCACACTTAACTTAGTATTATGCTTCTCTTTTAATGGCCAACATTCGGCACCATAAAGCATTGCAAGTCTCACCACCATCTTATAGAATTTTCCCTTAAGTTTGAGGGGAACTTTTTTATCGCACAATAAGCCCGATGCATTCCTCCACTTCAACCATCCAACTTGAATTCTACTGATAATATCCCCATTAATTTCACATCACTCTGAATAATAGATCCAAGATATCTAGGACGTGTACTCTTATTAATGACTTGATCGTCCAAAGTCACAATACCCTCACTAGGTTTATTGCTACTAAAATTACACTTCATATATTCAGTTTTAGATCTACTCAAGCGAAAACCTTTAGACTCTAAAGTTGACCTCCATAATTCAAGTTTACCTTCAACTCCCTCTCTAGTCTTATCAACAAGAAGAATATCATCAGCAAAAAGCATACACCAAGGTACATCCTCTTGCAAATGTCTAGTGAGAACTGTGTCATCATCTGTAGCTAGAAAATAGATTCAGTGATAAATATGCAATTAAGTTTAGAAAACAACCTTCTTTTTCTTTTTCTTTTTCTTTTTTTGTCACAGAAATCATTCCAGAATTGCTTACCCCTAAAGCCTGCGAAATAGCAAGATAAACTGGCTCCTTCCCAATGCTGTAAGCTCCAACAACAATAAGACTCTTTGGCTGCTTAGATAAAAATTTAAGAGTTGTCCTCACAACAAAAGCTAAAACATCATCTTTAGATGGAAAGCTGAAAATAAAAAGTTGAGTTAATCAATTGACTAATGAGGAAATATAAAAATAAGAGCTCAGAAAAATCAGGAAGTCACCTATATTTGGGGTTGCAATATGTTGTATCCAGATAAAGCAAATCGATGTGATGATTGGCTAACGAAGGATACAGTTGCATAGATTTTGATGCCCTGAAATCCCCAGTATGAAGATAGCACTTTCCATTCTTCAAGCGAAAAAGAATCAGAGCCGCACCAGGGCAATGATTAGCTTCTAGCAAAGTCACTTTAATATCTTCAATGACATGTTCTGCATTAATTTCAAGAGGGAAAATGTATCTGCAACAATGGATAGCAAGTGAAATTCTCATCCGCTATAAGTAAAATATTGATAGAGATAATACAAGTGACATGCAGCAATCTACTATTGATATAATGTGATAACACTTATAACGAAATTTCTCGAGTCAAGAAAATAACTGCAGCTCTTACTGTGGATTTACAGAAAGACAACTTCTCAGTAAGCGAGCTGTAAGGTCAGTGCAGTAGATATTTCCATGGGACCATCTTTTGCTTAAGCCCCCATAGTGATCATAATGAAAATGGCTCAGAAAATAAGATGAACATCCATCAATTGCACCATAACGAAAGGCATCTACTGTAAAAGAAGTACCTAAAAACAGCTGAGAGAATGATAAGCATCAACCAAAAAAATTGTCAGAATAATTTTCTAAAGTAAGACCGGAGCATGTAAACGCAACAATTCATACTAATTGGTTGCTAATTGGTCAAATAAATACTTGTTGGTCGCACAATTATATTTAACGACTATGTAGTCATTTAATCACATAATATATAGCTTAATACCTTAATCCCATAATCTTTTAAACACATGGATTAACTAAGACAGCAATTGAAAAAGCTTTCTACGTCCTAGTGTTTCTTAGTTAAAAAATTATGAATTTTTTGTGCGGGCAGGTCACTGGAGGTGGATAACAGGATTATGGTTTTGTAGAAATGTATGAATATAACAACAACAACAACAACATCAAGCCTTTATCCCACTACGTGGGGTCGGCTACATGAATCTTTTTTCTCCATTGTGTCCTATTAAAAGTCAAATTCTCATTTAAATCTAATAAAGAAAGGTCATTCCTAATATTTTCTAACCAAGTCTTTTTAGGTCTACCCCTACCTTTCTTAACATAAGTCAAATCTAATACCTCTACTCTCCTAACCGGGTCATCAGATGGCCGCCGTTTTATGTGACCAAACCATCTAAGGCGACTCTCTCTAATCTTATCTTCTACTGGAGCTACTCCAACCTTTTCACGTATATGCTCATTTCTAATCCTATCTCTAAAGGTAAAGCCGCTCATCCACCTGAGCATCCTCATCTCTGCCACACTTAACTTAGTATTATGCTTCTCTTTTAATGGCCAACAATCAGCACCATAAAGCATTGCAGACCTCACTACCATCTTATAGAATTTTCCCTTAAGTTTGAGGGGTACATTTCTATCACATAACAAGCCCGATGCATTCCTCCACTTCAACCATCCAACTTGATTTCTGCTGATAATATTCCCATCTATTTCACCATCACTCTGAATAATAGATCAAAGATATCTAAAACGTGTAATCTTATTAATGACTTGATCGCCCAAAGTCACAATCCCCTCACTAGGTCTATTACTACTAAAATTACCTCAATATATTCCGTTTTAGATCTACTCAAGCGAAAACCTTTAGACTCTAAGGTTGACCTCCATAATTCAAGTTTACCTTCAACTCCCTCTCTAGTCTTATCAACAAGAAGAATATCATCAGCAAAAAGCATACACCAAGGTACATCCTCTTGCAAATGTCTAGTGAGAACATCCATGACTAAAGCAAAAAGATATGGGCTTAAGGCTGATCCTTGATGTAACCCAACCGAAATAGGAAAATACTTGGTCAAACCACCTTGTGTTTGAACACAAGTAATAGCTCCTGCATACATATCTTTAATGATTTGAATATAAGCATTATTAACCCCTTTCTTTTCAAGAACTCTCCATAGCACTTCTCTTGGAACTTTATCATATGCTTTTTCTAAATCAATAAATATCATATGTAGATCATCCTTATTTTCTCTATATTTCTCCATCAAACCTCTTAATAAATGTATGGCTTCCATAGTCGACCTACCCGGCATGAATCCAAATTGATTTTGAGAAACATCAGTATCACGCCGCAGCCTATGCTCCATAACTCGCTCCCATAGTTTTAAAGTATGACACATTAACTTAATACCTCTATAATTCGCACAATCTTGTGCATCACCTTTATTCTTAAAAATAAGAATTAACACACTCATTCTCCACTCATCTGGGATCTTTTTAGTCTTCAAAATAGTATTAAAAAGTTTAGTAAGCCATGAAATTCCTACATCTCCTAAGCATTTCCACACATCTATTGGAATATCATCAGGTCCAACATCTTTTCCCCCCTTCATTTTCTTTAAAGCCTCTCTAACTTTAGTTTTACTAATACGCCGATAAAAACATAAATCTTTATTTTCATTTAGAGTGCTAAGGTCACTATAGTCAATCTTATTTTTGCAATCTTCATTAAAAAGTTTAGCAAAATATCTCATCCACCTTTGTTGAATATCATCTTCTAAGAAAAGTATTTTTTGTTCTTCATCCTTAATACACTTCACTTGAACTAAATCCTTACTACTCCTATCTCTTTGTTTTGCTAACTTATACATATATCTTTCTCCCTCTTTAGTATATAATCTATTATATAAATCACTAAAAGCTAATGTCTTTGCATCGCATATTGCTTTCTTAGCATCCTTACGAGTCCCTTTATATATTTATAGATGTCAATAAATGACCCAATCTAACCTATACTCGAAAATCTGAATTTGGGTTGATACTATTACTATATAGGTCGGATTTCGGTCTAAATTATAGATCTAATAATCTGATTACTATTTGTATCAGGTTCAAGTTTGACTCAAATAGCCTGAAATTTATCTGATTACTATTTGAGTTCAAATTAGAAGGGTTTGGGTCGGTTTAATTTGGTTAAATATGATAAATTCAAATTAACAAAGTCATATGTTGATCCAAAAAATTACGTGATACATATAATAAACAGGTTAGACATCGAATTTGGGATAGGTAAGTTTATGTTGAAATGGCTTTGAGTCAAATATTTTGACTTGTAAAATAAGTTGAGTTCAAGTCATGTGTAATTGGGTCAGCTCAACTTCAGTTAAAACACAAACCTAACTTGTCAACTTGAATTGACACCGCTAGGTATGGCTTAGTTTTTGTGAAGCATTAAGTGGTTTAAAGAAAGGTGGATGCAAGAGAAGAAATAAGGGGAAAAAATGGTTTGCAAACCTTAATTGTGGTTGATTTACAATTCAATCCAAAAGCTAGAAGCATAAACTCCTTGTAAGCATATTTTTTTGCAAAATCAAAGGGGGCATATCTAATTGATGAAGTGATGTAAAAAAGGTAGGAAATGCATAAAAAAATGCTCTAAAAATTCCTCCATGAAAATTTGTTCAACGCTATAATAGCCACCCCTCATGATCTCTCCCTATTTGGAATGAAATGTTACCACTCTAATTTGAATGATACAATTAAGTCTTTGATTTCTTACTTGTATCCTTAATTTGGGGTTAATGATATAGTTCCAAAATAAGCTTTTTAAATTCAAAATATTTTCTACAAACTCAAATGGTTGGATACTCAAATTCTCAAGAAAAATAATTTAAAAAAAAAATTGCAATTAATTGTTATGAAATTTGACCTTTATAAAGAACTAGTGAGATATCTTCTAGCTTGTGCTTCATCACCACTACCCAAATATGCCATTCGTGCTGCTCACAAATGTATCCCCTGACATCACTTGTTCCTATTGCATTTGCAATTGAGACGCCATCATAGTCTACATCATTATTTTTCTATATAATTGCATCATGAAAATTAGAATGAGAAGCAAGAGAAGTAGATAAGGGGAGATTTTATGATTGAATTTTATTCACTTATTTCATGTTAAAAAAAAAAAGCTATAAAATAAATAGGTAGACAAACAACCACCTAGAAAAAAAAAATTGGAAATCGGTCTTTATGTGAAAACTCGAGCCAAATGAGAATGACCAAGCAAAGTATAATCCATAGTGTGTCCAACTCAACTCAATTACAACCCTATCTACCATCAAACATTGGTTATGCACAATCATTAAGGACAAGAAACCTTTCCCTAAATCCATACCAAAGATGAAGGGATGCACATTAGCCTGATCAAAGATACCACATACATAAAGGTTAATTTATCATTCTGGCAAATCAAAGATACGGTAGATGTGGGAGCCTCTATCATGGTTGCTCACCTAAAAAAGAACTCTGTGATTCCAATACATATTCATGTCTCTTCTCTGTCCCTATAGAAATAAGCTTCATTTTATATGGGAGGGGAGGCGGGAACAGGTCCTCAGTTCTGTTGGGGATGAAGAGGAGAAAAATCATAATGACGAAACAAGCAAAAAAGTAAAATGAACGGAAAAATAAAGGGCACCGGGATTTAACGTGAAAAAATTCAAATTAAGGAGAAAATCATGAAACCAAACCACATCAAGAAATCCACTATGAAAATTGGGAGAAATAAGTACAAATATCTCATTCTCTCCTTATAATAACCCTGCCAAATAAATTTTTTAACAATTATTATAAGTCAAATTTGAAAATCGTCTTCGCCCTAAAATAGATATTATTGTATTTTAATTATACTGATAATTTTTTTGCATTGGTGAACATCCTTAAAAAAATTGACACATGTCGATATAAGTAGAGATATTGAGACCATCTCACCATCAGGTATTCATTTTGCAAATCAATTTTAACAATATTTTCTAAATAAAATGATTTATTTTATGGATATTTTTCCATAATTTTTTAAGCCCAAAAAAAATTATATAAATTTTATACTAAAAACTGAATAAATTAATATTATATTATTATTTTCTCATAATATCTAAAAGCATTACCTTAAAGCATATCTTAATCCATTCGTTTGGCCAAATTGTGAAACAGAGAAAAAAAAGATAAATTAGAGTGAAAAGTGATAAGAGAAGAAATATTAAGATTTAGAGGTCGTGGAGAGATTTACATCAGTCGTGTTTGTTGCGAAATTTGCTCGTCCCGCTGTAAGAAATCTACATCATATTTTTTATCTTAATAATTTTATGTTTTAGGTTTTTTTTTTATCAAATTTGTATTTTTGTTACCAAAAAACAAGAATAATTTTCTATCAGTAAAATTTTCAACACATAACTTTTTATATGTTATAGAGATTAAGAGTATGAATATTTTAAGTATATTGCAAATTGGTTTTAAAAAAGCAGCGATTTTTGCCTACACTAAAATTTATTTTGACACCTAAAAATAATGCTTCAGTTTAATTAAAGCTTCAAAAAGATATTTTACATAATCTCTGCTAATTTAGTTAATTTTAAAAAATATGATTTTTTGCTTAGTAGAATTTTTATTGTCTAACGTTAGGACATTTTGGCACTTTCTAAATTACGCCTAATTATGCATTATTTACTTCAATGCATTGAAAAGGCGTGTGGATATGTGATTGAACAATAGTTGGTTGTTATATTACTAT